GTGATGTTTGCCGATTTATTAATGGGTATATCATTTTTAATCGTTAATATCCTTGTTGTACTTTGGAAGATATATGTGGGTTCCAGGTAAGTTTTTTGTCCAAAATAACTCCAAGATATTTTATATTATGAGACCATGGAATATTTTGTCCGTTGATTTTTAAGGAATTATAATTAGTAGGTCTACGAAGTGTGAATATAACTGCTGTGCTTTTAGCCGGATTGAGAATGATTTTCCATTTTTGCGCCCATTTTAGAATTTTGTCAAGATGAGTTTGAATGTTTGCTGTTACATTTTCGATTTTATCGGAACTAGAATAAATGACACTATCGTCCGCATATAAGGCTATTTCCGTGTTCGTCGATGTAGGAAAATCTGATATGTAAAGGTTAAAAAGTATTGGAGATATTTTTGAGCCTTGTGGTACTCCTGCATTAATTTGTTTTACGTCCGATTTAGTGCCATCTATTTGAACGGTGAAACTACGAGAGTGGAGAAAAGATTTGATTATGTTGAAGATAACAGTGGGTGTGTTAAGGCATTTTAATTTATAAAGCAGTCCATCATGTGACCATGTCGACCATGTGACCATGTGACCATGTCCAGACCTTGTCGAACGTTTTAGCAATGTCAAGAAAGGCCGCTCCAGTGTGTTCTTTTTTTTCGAACCCGTTGCTTATGTGCTCTGTTTTATGTTGCTCGATTTTAAATAATGCATTTGATCCGAGAACTGGACCCGAACTACTCCTAAAAATTATAAAACCGGACCAAACCGACTATTCAATAATTTTTGTATGTTAGGACCGTACAAGACCGGACCGGACTGATTAGGATCGGACCATCCAGAGCACTAGTAGCTATTAATATTTATAAATTTAATTTTAAAAATATTTAGTTTATACTATATTTGATTTAACTCTGTACAAAATATAAAACTCTTTAATAAACATAAAAACATATTAGTATATATTTGTATATAGTATTAGTTCAATTAAAGCATTGTAGAATTAAGCAGACCCTATTTTTTAGTGAATCCCGACACAAAATCTGTATTCCGAAATGGAAATGTCCACTATGAATTCAAGAAGTGTGTACCTACTAAATAATTATAAATAGGACTACTATGAAGGTGTCTTTTAGGAAGTCAGTTTAAGCAAGACAGTTGATGAGGGCTTAAATTTACCTATTAAATTTTGAATTATATGTCGCACATTAAAATAAGTACATTTGTAAATAGTTTTCAGACATAAGTATATTTTCAGTTTAAAAAATAATAACAGATTGGTAGTTACCTAATTATAATGTGCAATTTGATTGATAAAAAAGAACTATTACTAAAAATTATTACTGATATTGTACTAAAAATTATAATCATATGGAAGTAAGGTAGAGAGATGCTCTGTTTCATATTATTGTATATTAAAAAATGTGTATATAGTAAACCCAAATATAGGAATATTATTTTTTTTATATAACATAAAACCATAAATTATACAACACGTTATTGTCACTTTTATAATAAATGTAAGTTAGCAACATATAACTATATAATTACTTTTAAAGAAGATGAGTAAAATTAGTGAATTATGTTATCCTTTAAATTATCTGAATTGAATTTTATTTCACATGATGTTTTTATTAAATACAAAAATAGTGCAGAAGTTTCGTAAGTTTAATAACAAATATATAAAATAATTTAATAGTATTATGTATATTTTGTTTAAAAGCCTTTTTATAGGAAGTAATAAGTCAAGAGTTTAATGTAGAAAAGTGTCGAAGATTGTGAAAGATTGGAGACAAAAATGAGAAGAGATATTGATAAAGATAAAAATTGTAACAAAAAGTTGATGTTTAGCAAAAACGCATATTATCATTGACTAAATAATTCTTAGTAATAATTATACTCTATTATTATTAGAATTTTTCCATAATTTATAATATTATTAAATATTTTTGAAGAAGAAAAGAAATTTAATAGCTGATTAACATATTGAGATGACTCTTTTATTGAGATTCAATAGGTATTTTGATTAACCTGTCCATTTTATTGTTTTATTTGTTTAGATTTTAATAAAATTAAATAATAATATAAATTTATTTTTATGTTTTGTATCAAGTTAAATTAAGTTAACGATATTTTTTAACTTAATTTTTAACTTAATTGATGTAAATCTCGTGTGCATAAACTTAATTGAACATGAATTCAATTAACTTAACTGAGTTAAAAAATATCATTAACTTGCCTAGTCTTGGGTATAGATATTAAAATTGTTTTTATCTAATTGAGTCAATATAATTAAAATCATAGAAAATTATATTTAAAATTAATAAGCTATAATAGAAACAACATTTTTTAAATTAAATAAGTCATAATACTTTTAATTAGCTTACCCGGTTAACTTCATACTACCTAACAGTCAATAAATGTAGTGATACCTTTTAGTTAAACTTAATTTATGATTTTAATTAATGTAATAAAATTAATACAAAATATGTATTGAGGAATAATGTAATCAATATTTTTTTTTTTATTTATTATTAATTTTTACTAGAATAATACTATACAAAAAAGTATTACTTAATTTAGACGCATCTTAATTTTTAACTGATAACATCAAAGGAGCATATGCCAGATTTTAATCCGTCACAGGAAATAAATTTAATTTTTATAAAAATTGATAAATTATAACTTCATATTAATTATATTGTTAGTTAATTTACTTAACGTAAAATTATTAATCAAACATAAATTCTAAAACCTAATTGTATCAAAAATATAAGCACTCATTAACTCCATGGCTTCATATTAAAAATAACTCTTAACCTCTTTGTCTATTAAGGTTCTATATGTATTGATAAAAAAAAGGTAATAAGAACACGTAAACAAAGGTAGTATTGATTTTTTATAACTTAAGGTTTACATAATATATTGATATTGATTTCTTATTGGTAGTTTTATTTTTTAATGTACAATATGATGGTCGATTAACTTGATATATGTCATATTTATGCCAAAACCATACATAATAACTTTCAAACATTTTGTTAGAAACATATATATTTTTCAAATCCTTTTTAAAAATAAGTGATGTACTCTTTATTATGCTATATTATTGTTGAAAGCAGAATATTTTAACATTAATTATTAGTCAATATTTTTAATTTGTATTTTATGTTTTGTTAATAATGTAATTTTAATTAGTTTCAGTAAAGTTCTATAAGAACTTATAGGTTTAAACTATATATTCATATTTTCAATTTGGTTTGTTATTCAAATATAAAATATAATTTTTCTCATCACTTACTCTCATAATTATAGATTTTCAATGTATAATTCCTTCGTTGTTTACTATATTATATAAAAGGGGAATAATTTTAAAAATTAATAAATGGTTTTTTTTTCAAATTTTCCGTTTGAAATAAACAATACTAATCGTATCTCTGAATGGCTATCGTTTTATCTTCAGTATTAAGCTACTTCTAAGCTACTGATCATGGTAAATTATTTGCCTAGCATATATTATTGCATGTACAAATTGTAGTTTTCATTTGGAAAATTAATTTATTAATAAACGTATGTCGTTTTAAACGATTAAAAATTATATTACTTTTATAAAATTACCCTTGAGTAAATATTAGACAATATAATATCATTTTTCTTATTTTATATGTAATCAAATTATAGGATTCATAATAATACACGCATAAAATTTCTGTATATATTAAATAATTAACTGTCTCGATTAAGAATTCTAGAGTAAGATGACTATAAAATGATCAACACTTAAATCCTATAATTCAATGAATAGTTAGAGAAATATTTATAACTATTGTAATAAGTGAATTTGAATGGGGTTAATAATTTGTTTTTATTTTATATTTTATACACTGACTAAAATGTAAAAGTTATTTTAAAAAATAGTGATAATTTTGTAATCGTGGTTAAAATAGGAATGAAATAATAGTAAGTACTTATAACCATATATTTGTAATTTTAAGTTGATTCACACTTTGCATAGAAACTTATCTACAAATTAATTTAGATTATTAAAATTTATAATTTTTATTTAAAGGAATTTAGTAGAATTTAAGTGTTCCATAAACCCTTAATACTTTTTAATAAAATAATTTTTGGACATTCACATTTTACAAAGTTACGAATAGATCACTGTAGTTTTGGCCAGAAATACATTTAAATATACTACTTAAATTTTTTATGTTTAATTTTAACTTAATTATTTATTTTTAATATTAATTATATGGGTTTACAATGCTCGATATATTTTATAAATGATTATAAGTATTTGTGGTGAAATTTATTAAAATTATCACAATATTAAAATTATAAACTCCTAATATTAATTTCATATTATTTTTTTAGTGAATAATGAATTATAAAAATGAAACAAAATATTTTATACTGCTCAAAATACGATATTAATTTGTTAACACATACATAATGTATATACTATGCATATACTGTGTATATACTAATGTATACTATATATGTGTTATATGAACATTATTAATAAAACACTATAATTAGTGTAAGAGTATTTACAAAATTTAACCAATAATAAAATTAACGAATAGTAATGATAGTAAAATTGCATTGAAACCTAAAATATACTCTTACTGAAACAACTTAAAAATGTACGGCAAAGTACAATCAACACTACCTACACAAATCGTTCTGAAAACAATAAAAAGGTTTGTGAACAAAAGTTTATTATTATATTAACGCTAAATATGTACGTATATAATACAGAAAATATTGTTCTAGAGGTTAAAATAAATGTGAATATTATTACTTAAGATACGTGAATCAGAGAAGAAAAAGGACGTCGAGATGTATTGTTGATTCGCAACTGACCTGGATTCGTTTTGGAAACACGGATAAAACATTGGAATATTTTTTGTACGACGAGCGATGTACGTATTATAATTACGTGTATATGAATACAGAAATTACCCTATCGACGGTTACCGATTACGCTTACCTTGGCCATGCCGCTGTGTGCCATTGTAGCCCTGCTGCATGATGGAACACCGGCGATTACATAAGTGTTACTATAAATAGGCAGTAAGTGTGCTCCGATAGTCTACATCAATGTTTTGCAGCAGCTTTGGTCATGGTACCCCGGAGCTACCCGTGCAACAGATGGCCCCGCCGGGGCTCCTGGTCGCCATGGCAACGGCTATTACAGGTGAGATGTTGCCCAGCAACCGGTGCCCAAAAATCCGGGCAAAACCAATGGCCCACATTCGTTAATCAATTGTCTCACCTTATCCTTTCTGGCGACTTCATTTTGACATTTATATGCGTTTTTGTGTACGAACAATTATATATACACATACGTGTGTGTACGTGTGCACGTACACTAAACGTTCATGTTCACAATCGTATATATATTAAAATACGTTTATTCCCTTAAACGGCATGGTGTCAACGTGGCATATCAACCGTTTTATTATGTAAAAGTTTCTTCATTAATATCATATATTATGGGTTTCAAGTTAATCGTTCTGTTTTTACTAAGTCATCCGTAAAAAAGTTAAACCTTACTCATATATATATATATTATTATATAATTACCGAATTACCGTCTACGTATGTAACCGTTTAATTTTGTACTATTAGGTGTTTAATAAAATTATATTGTTTTTGACAAGACATCATGGCTGACGAAAAGAGAATATATTAAAAATCTAACATAAATTTCTATAAAATTAGTTTCGATACACATTTTACATAATTTTACAAAACATGTATTTTATAAAACAAAATAAAACAAATTTTAATAAAAAAAACTAACTTAAAATAAATTATTTTAATTAAAAACAACTTTTGTACAACAAATTAAATAATCTTAAGAAAATTAACATTTTTGATTATGTTTTCGTCATGTATATTTAATTTAATCTGTGTATAATATATTATTAGGATTTAGAAAAATAAATATAAATAAAAGTAAAAAAATATAATTTTTCCTTTTTATAACATTGATATACATACCTGTATTAAATTTTATAATTTTTAGTAGTTTGACCACGTACCGGAAATTGTTATTTATTTATATTTTATCACTTAGCCTACATTGGTTATTAGCTTGGGGAAAATTCACATAATTATATTAGAACTTTAATATTAATAAACAGGGTAAAGTTATTAACAATATTTGTTGCAGTTAGAAAATCCCGAATTTAGGTGCAATTTTTTTCGTTGAGATCTTCTTCTTAATTTATTGGTAAAGAAAGGTTATTTTACTTTGGTCAATGATGTATATTTTATTTAGAAAAATTTCAACAGTTTAGAATTCCTGGCAGTGGCGTATTTGAAGGAAGGTGATAGGGGTGATCGTCCCCCTCCCATTGCCCAAATTATTTATATATATTATAAATATATGTTAAGAAAATATTACATTTAAATTTTAATTTTTAATCAGTCATATTTTTATAAGTAAGATCTATGCTTTCATCTTTCATATTAATATAAACATCGATTTCATAACTTCGATATTAAACCATGTTTATATACTTCAGCTATTGTGATTTGAAAAATATTTTTTGTAAGCATTACAACAATTTGCTATCAAAATTTTTAATAAACTATTAAAATGAATTTGAAAGTTACTTATTTACCATTGCACAAAATATCATTAAATTTGCTGAAAGTATTTTCTAGTTCATGGTAGTTGAATAGTATCTTTTGTTTGTAAAAAGGTATAGATTATGCAATCGACATTAATATACTTATATTTGAATTTCTCATTTATTTGGTTGATTTTAAGTACGATTTTAAAATTTCATTATTGAAAATATTCTCTCTGGTGTAGCTGAAAAAAAAACCTAATGATATTTTGACTGTTGTGTTAACATCAGTTCAGTTTTAATCATAAATATAATAATGAGGTAAAAACATGATTAGAATCATAAACACGGTTATTTACATAGATTTAACTTTGTAAACCGAATAAAACCAATATAAACCGAAAATATATCTATAATGTTATACGTTCTGATCCACAATTTTGGCCGGTACAATAGTGATGAGTTCAAAATAGTAACGAAACTGTTCGTCACGATCAAAATGAATATATTTTTCAATTGGAATTCTCTTTTCTCAAAGAATCGTTAATGAGTTCGTCCATATTCATGTAAGAAAAGAGCAAGAGAGATAGAGAGAAATATAATTCTTGGTATACCTAACAGTTATTAGCAATTGGACTAATAATTGTGTGTTCATAGTAATACAAGCATTTGCAGCGGACTCTTTATAATAATTATAATAGTCCACATACGGATTATATATCTTAAGTATATAAAATGCAATATTTATATAGTGTACGCACAACCGAACCTGAGTTAACATCTACACCCAAGTTTCGATGTTATTGAAAATTTCACTGTCCTGGCAAGCAAATAATAATGTGGATCCGATCAATGAGTGTGCATTTCGTCGTTTTTGTAGTTTCTGTTGCACTCGACTGATCGGCCAAAGTACTTACAACGCGACCGACGGCAAGGCTCACGTGATGGTATAGTCGGTTGGTCTCCAATCGATAACAGTTGCATTGCGGGGCTACTCTATTTATTCTTGTAGTCACGAGAGACCATGGAGTGTCGTGCATTATGCGTATCATATAATTATTTATTCTTTTGCGTAGGCATTGCTCTTATTCCTAATTTAAATACCAATTTAATTTTAATTAAACATTATTCACATAACTTTATAAAATATTACCTCTTAAAAATAAAATAATTATGAAATAATTTTTGATTTTATTTTAATTCTGAACATGATTATACTAAACATTTAAAAACTTATACTTTTAAAAGTTATAAAACTAAGTTAAGAAATTATGAAAATTGAATTCATTAAATTTTTAAAATGTTATAAAATAAATATTATTATCAAATTTTTTAAGTGTTGTTTATTATATGATTATTTTACAGGGGGCTTCTAAAATGGATGAGGTGATTGCCTATCTGCTGAGGTGAGCCAGTAAAGAATATTTTGAAATTTTCTTTAACTTCAAAAGCTGAGTTTATTTGATTATCTTTAGACCATGATCTTAAATAAAAAATTAAAACTCATGTAATACTACAAATTTAGCTTATGCATCGATATTTAATATTATTTTTGAACTTATCACGCATTTATCCCGCTCAAGTCACTAAAATTAAGAAATGTGATGTGATTTAACGAAGTGAATGAAACATTTGCAAGATAATCAGTAATAAAATTTATTTCTTATCATTTACCTTACTCAATCAGTCAATACAACTTTCTTATTGTGAAATAATCATAGTTAAACACACTTAACTTTAAAATATATTTTTTTTTCTAATAAACATATACAGAACAAACAATACATTAAATATGACAAGATGGGTAGGTAACTGGGAGTTACCGGTTTCCGAAATGGTTTTTTTCCGCAAAAAACGAAAAAGGTACGATTCCCTTTTCCGCTAAAAATGTTGGAAATCATTGGTTTTAATTTTTAAGAAATATTGAATATATATTATGATATGTATAAAAAAGACAATGACATTTGTTATGTATACACCGATAATTTTTGATAATCGTCAGTAATGGAAAGAAGCATACACTGTATCATATATAATTCACACACAATAATTATCTGACGAATGTTAAATTCTTATATTTTGATTCAGTACCTATTCTGTTTGTCACCAGACTAATAACACTTTATACCGTTTTTAAAATGAAATTTGTTGTAAACAAAAGAGATAAAACGATGTTGATTTTTGATGGTTTTAAATATGCTTTTAGTTATACGTCACAAACCTATGTAACTAACTTGGTGAAGATGTTTTTTGAATAATTGTCGGGCCAATAATATAAAGTATAAAAAATTCCAAAAAAAAAAAAAATTTAAACCGTTTAAAAGCTACAGAAGACGCAATGACAAAAAACTGCTACTTATGTCAAAACTGTTTCTTTTAATTATAAAATTTTTTAAACCCTGAACTATACCACTATACCTAACGAATGTAATTTTTATAACTTGACATATACTTGTATTATAATTTATAATTTTTGTGACATTTTTAAATATTTAAAAATCACGATACCTATTTATTTCTTAAAAATTCTATCAAGACAATATTTGACCTATACTTGTTTTAAACTTTGAAATAATTAAATAGAATGGACATATTGTAATATGCAATTATACAATATTTTAAAAACTCTAAAATAATTGTGTCTAATATATTATTAATTTTATTTACTTGTAATAAAATTTATAATAAGAATATGTAATAATTGTACATGGTCCCCAAATAGTAATTGGCAGAAACGTCTTTTCACAAAAATAAATTTTGGCGGAAACGGGAATCATACCTCTTTCGTTTCAAGGGTGTATTTGAGGGAGGCTAAGAGGATATTCGCCCCGGACACAGATGTTTTGACGCGGCTGTTTTGGCGCTGGACCGGTTACGTACATTAGCCCAACCCCCCAATTTTTAATTTTGCAATTTTTTTTGCGCCAATAATTAGTGCTCAATTCCTGCCAATTCCTGCCATATTTTCAGAATTTCTGCTGTACCAGTTTTTCCAGAAAGCCGTATTTTCTAAGGGTAGGTATGTCATTATTAGGGTTCGGTAGTTGTAGGAATTGCATATTATTCTGTATGTTCCCAATTTATAGCAGACCAAACTAGAAATCTGAACTATATAATGGTGAGTTAAAAGATTGAAAATTGAAAATGCATATTTTGCATATTTTGTCAATTTTAGCTAAAAAAATTCATATTTCATTGATTTTGTACTCGTATTATGTATAGGTATTTCATATTTTTCTAAAAAAAATGTTAATAATTTTAAAATTTTATTTTCCTCGTCTGTATATTTTTATTAATATTGAATACCTTTATAAAATTCAATATTATCGACGATGATATTTATTGCCCTAGTCACAGTCAACAATTAATTTAATAACAATGATGTCATGTGTCATTGATGTCAACAATGATCAATCGCACACTACATTTGTTTACACTATTTCAACAATAACAAAACCCACTATGATAAAAATTTATTAATAGTCTATAATAATATCATTGTTTATCTATTTTAAATTATTTTGTCCCAAGAAAATCATGAAGATTTATATTC